AATTCTCTATGGCTGCACCTTGCTCTTGTGCAGCAGCTTTTTGCCCTCCTTAACTCTGTTATCCCAGAGGTGCCGCTTGGCCTCTGCCAGCATCAGGTCCATCTTGGAGCCACTGACACTGGCTCTATTGGAAACAGAGGAAGCTTCTAGCAGCTTCTTTCAGAAGCCAACCCTGTAGCCTGCCCACTACACCAAAACCTGGCCACAGCAACCCAGCAGAGCAATATATACTCCCACTAGCAGGGCACATGTACAGATTTAGGACTGTGTGCTTTCTTTTACTTGAAACTGTGAGCAGCATTGGCTCCACAGAAGTTTTCTGCAACAGACTCACTTTTATGTTCCAACACTACAAACACAACACACCCAAATGTTTAGCATTTTTTTCCCTTTTTTTTCCCCTCTACTCTCTTTAGCCAAGTTCAGGCATTATAATCCCAGTGAGCACATTCCACTGTATAACACCTAACAGCCATATTTTCTGTCTGTTCAAGGCTTCAGGAACAGACAAACCAACAGCTAAGTCTTTAGGAAGGTGCTTTAAAAGACTATGAACGATTCCTAAGAAGCACGAAGCAGCATTTTTTAAATCCAGGGGGAAAAAAAAAAAGTCTTGGACATGGCTCAAGGCTTGATGAAACACAGGACAGTGGGTGCTAGAGAATAGGGGCTGGGCTTGAACTAGCCCTTCCCAATCATTTGCCTCAACACTTGTGCCTCAGTTTCCCCATCTCTAAAGCCAGGATAACCCTTTCTTGACAAGGTAGACCAAGACACTCACAGAGATGCTATTTAACTACTACCCACTCTGAGAACAGCCTAGACATTGATCCCAATGACAACCTCTCTGAATTCACCTATGCACATGAACCTGCATCAGCATTAGTAAAATCTTTTATCCTGAAATAATTACTGTAGTTTGTTGTTTGGCTGGTTGGGTTTTTTCTTGAAGAACTTGGATAACAAGCAGCCTAACTTTAACAAAACAAAAAACAAACAATGCACAAGGCTTTTTTTCTTATAAACAACTTTAAAAGGCAGTAATAATTCAGCCACCTTTCAATTAATGTTTCATTTATTTCAAGTGTTTCAGCTCAGACTGCTTAGCTGTAATTATAGCTGCCTGTCTCACACCTCTGTGCCTGGATACTACACACCCTTTAAACCTTTCTAAGAAAGAGGGAGGGGAGTATCAGCACTCCACCACTGCCACCAACAAAGTAGCTACAGCATAAACCGGGACTCAATAGCCTGCTGACAGTGTTATCAACACTACATAAAGTGGTACCAAGTTTTAAATAAAATGGTACTGTAATGTGGTGGGAGATGCTTATACCAAGATTCAGTTAAAACATAATTTGTAGAGGATGAAACAATAACTTCACCCAAAGCCATTTCCAGATCCAGTTCACCATGCATAAACCCTTGTCCTAGCAAATGAGGCCCAGGCACTGGCCTTTCCACCACCTGGCAGTAATGGCAAAGCCATACATAAGATACGAATCAACTGTTTTGCCTTTGCACAAGATCTCATTTCTATATGGCCATTTGTCTCCATAAGCAGCAAATAAACAGAGGTGACAAAACCATCAATACCTCTGCTTATGCAGCCCAGTCAGAATCAGCAATTCTTCTTAAGAATACACAATACACACTGAAAAACACAACAGACCAACTTCAATCATATACTTGGTTATGCTGTTTCAGTGCCCCTGTGGGAGACATTCAAACAGGAAATAACCTGTCTCATTTTACCACAGAAGCTCAAACCCTTGTGAAAACTGACTTCTGTATTTAGCTCCCCCCTCTTGCCCAACATCCAAATGAGCCACCACTCTAAAGCTGCCACAGAAGTCCAGGATCACCAAAGACAGAGCCTTGCTGGCAGCAGTGGTAAGTGCTACACACGGATGGCTCTTCCACTGCACACCTTGCAAAGCCACTCCATAGGAACCAGAGTAGAAGGTGAAGCAGTGAACTATTACATTCAGAGGAACGTGGCTAAAAAGACAAGCCACAGGATTTCAATCCTGCCTGCAGACTAGAAGAGCAGGGCATTTCACTATTATAGTAAATATTTATCAGGGTTGCTCTGGAACTGCGTAGCTCACATTCCATCTTTTGCCACAGACCGAAGCAAGTGTTTGCTGCGGCAAGTCCATTCCTGCGTCAATACTCAGGGACTCCAAACAGGAAAGAGAAAACCCCTTGTCAAGACAATTCTTAGAAATTTGACAAACCTATCAGCATCCTCAGTGTTGCCTGGATCCAGGCACCAGCTCTTCACTCCAACACAGAATCTTCATCCAAGGCAGCTTCATGCCATTTACCAGCAGCACCTAGGAGCAGGGCACTCACACAGCCCGTGAGGTGGACAAGATACACCTAATCACTACCAGCAGTCCACAGAATGTACAAAGTCAGGGAGAAGTTCCAAAATAAGAAGGACACTACTGCATTTTTAATAGTTTATTAACACTTCAACTTTTAATAACTTTGAAGAAGGCCTGAAAGATAAGTTTTGCTTATTGACTTTGTCTTTTCCCCTTTGGCAAAATGTCACCTTTCAACTCCTCCCTCCACCCTCCCTCCACCCAGGAGGATAATGAAGTTCCAAGCTAGTGTTTGGTTGCTTTTTATAAGTAAATTGGCTTCAAACATAGCAGCAGAAACATGCAAGCCTGGGCAATAGTGTTTGTCAACAGCTTTTAAAGAATGTCAACAGCTTTTAAAATGCACAAATAACTTGTGCATTGATACAAATAACTTTTTCTTAAATGAACTTTATATATATATATTTTAAGTGGGTTAAATTTGGTGTCCAGACTTACTACAGAAGCACTATCTTCTAGTTAACTAGGCTTTTGTTCTTCCCCCTGAACCACCATACTACTCTTTTTTAAAGTGCTATATTCATAAAAACTTTAAAATACTACTTAGATACCGTATACTTGTTCTAGCTTGCCCTTTTGAGAAAACAGAAGAGCAACCTGCAAGGTGTATTTGACTGAAGTTAGGCATTCACCCTCACATGACTTTATGGGCATCATCATCTGCTCGTATCACTAGGAGCAGTGGAGAGACTGTATTTCCCTGTGCTTACATACACGAGTAAGCAGGCAGACAAAGCAAGAAGTTCTAACCATTTCAGGAACAAAGACAAACAATTTAATCCATATTACATAATTCACTGAATACAGTTGATCTCATCCAAAGTGACTCCTGAGAGCAAAATAGTTTTAGCATTACATTTTATATACAGCTATGAAGGGATTACGGGAAACCAAGACAGTCTCCTTACACCATTGCTAAGTACACTGGTTACGAGACCGCTGTACACTTCCACTCTGAAGACATTATTTAAATCGTGACCAGGTTTTACCACCATTTTGTTATTTATGAAAAAAGAATTAGTTCATTCTGATTATCATCATTTTTACCTTATTTCTGCTGCCAAATGTCAAAACTTGAGTCAGCTGCATTGAGCAGTGACTTCTTTTTCTGCTTTAAAGTCCTCTAAGTGCTAGCACCCTTGAAAACCTTTGTACACCATGCTGTAATAATTTTAAGATCTTCCAGAGAGTTTTGTTTGGTTTTTCTCCCTTCAGCGCAGGAATGACTGCTCTGTCTGAAGCAAACTACATCCTGCACAATATTGCTTTCGTCATTTTCCACGTAATCAGTTTGGAACAGGCTATGAAAGTCTGATGTGGCAATGTTCTGTTAGAGAAAAAAATCAGGACAATTATATCATTCTGAACCAGCGGAACCAAAATAATCAAGACCTTAACATAGGTTTTTTTCCAGTCACTGGGATGGAAGGAGACTTGAATTCAGACACTGGAACAAGTAATTGGAAACATCAGTGCTTGCATGCTTAAGTGAAAAGATAAGCAGTATTTGCATTTTCTCCATCATCTTCCTTGTACATGTGCAAGATTTTATAAAAAAGTTTACCACAGAGAGCAATGACAGAATATGATGTAATTATTGTTTCCTTTAAAAAAAAAAAAAAGCACTAGAAATCAAAGGCAACCAAGATAACGTACATCTTTCCCAGAACATTTTTTCTCAGCTACATAAGGTGTGCATATACCAAGGTCTAACACACTTAGCTGCACCACATCAAGTCAAGTTGTCCAAGAGCATACACAATTTTGCTTACAGGAGTATACCCCTTCCACAATTTTTCAAGTTTACAAGTTATCCCCTGTATTGGATTATGCTTACTCAGAAGTACAGATAATGTTTTGTTTCAATACTATTGTTTGTTTTTTATGACATATTCAGAGATGAGGCAAGACATAAGATTAAGTGCAGGGAAGTATTTCAGACCCCAAAAATGCATTCTTTACAACTCGGTTATACATGGTTAACACAGGTAGCTCTGCCAAGAGTTGCATAAAAATGATTTTCATTTCCCAAAGGTGAGCAACTGAGGCTCACTCAGCAAATATCAACTCTTCTGCATCATGGAATTCACTATGGGTGTCTGATTGATTTAACTTGCATTTCCAAGTATCTGCTAAAACAGAACTACAAACCAAGTAAGTTAGTACATGTAAATTAAGTACCCTTAAGAAATCAAAGAATAAGATTGCCTCCTGGAAGACACCCAGAAGATCCAAAGATGGAACAGAAGGTTGATTATTACACTCCTGCACAATCCAAGCAAATTGTTAATATACTGAAAACATTCATGTCTGGTATTTGTACCTGCTGGATATCCAAATTATTCTGTCCCAAAACAAGTTTGATCACCATCCTCCCTGTAGCTGAAAGCAGCCAGAAAACTGCTCATTTTTTTAAACAAATGGAATGGAAACCTTTTTTTTTTTGTTCTTTCCCAAGCTTCAATTACAACAGTCTAAGCCAGAGACTTAAGCAAATAAACTTCAAAATTGCCATTTGTTACAAGTAGCAAATTACCATGAACAATGAACTTGTTAAGAATCCCTTCTAAAAGTACGACACACACAAACAGGCTACCCAGCAGAAAAATCTGTTAACAATTTTATTTCTTTTGTCATGTTAAATATTATGGGACAGGATTGTAAGGATGAAGAACTCTCAACAATGCCTCACAAGGAATAAGAAAGAAATTCTGCCATAATATTAGCAAAGTAAGGTAAGGAGAAAATTTACACAGTAAGAGGCACCATTTCCCCCAGAATACCTCTTGTCATATTCCTGATTGAGTGGGATTAGCAATCTAATAAATCATTTGTCAAGAGGTAACAGCAACAGATAAAATTTTAAAGGATTATTAAAATAACATTTACAAGACTCTGAACAATTTTTGAATTCTTATTAAAACCACAGAAAGAAAGAACAATTCTTTATTTATGAATTTTCATAAAGGACTGACTGTGCAACTGATACCTGCTATTGATGACTTAATGTACAATTTTGTCCAGTAGCCGAACAGTTTGTCGTTTCGGATTGTGTTTTCTAACCGTGTGAGATCATTAAAGGCAAAGCCTGTTACGATGCTGTACACAAAAACGGCCGCTGGGGCCATACTACCCATGATGTGGTAGGTAAACACCTTTTTCTGGCCAAGAGGAAAAAAAAAAAAACAGAAAAAAAAAAGAAGCTGCAGTTTTGCATGCTTCTCTCACTCATCCTTTCTACAAGATGAACTTCCCTAGAAAGAATCCAATGAAAATGGCTGCAATTACAACAAGAAGTGAAGGAAGAGAATGGGAGCCATTATCTCTGAGGGCCAAAGCTGTGGGTGATCCAGATTTATCCGAGTGCGCTACCTTTCTGAGCCTCAAGCCTTCATCCTGAGGGGGAGAAAAAACACAGATGGAAAAATAATATAAATACATCTTCTTTACCATAGTAAAAACTGAACTCAAAAGGCCAAACTTACTGGTGAATATTTAAATAAAGTTAAAACCAAACCCAACACACATCACACCACACCAAAATCCAAAACACGGACACAGAAAACCACAGTATTTCAAGTAAGGACAGGTAATCCACTGGTATGTCTCTCCATGCTCTGGTTTCAAAGATTCTGCAAATCTTGCTAGGCACAATGAAGCATCCTGCTTTTACTCGCTATGTGTCAAAATTAAATAGCAGTAATTCCTTACTGTTAACGAGAAACACCTGCTTTGTGTAGTGTCAATGTCATCAGAACTACAGGTGTGGAGACATCATTATTTCATGGCTCTTTAAAAGGCTACCATGGACAATTAAACTGTCAGAACTGTTCTGAAAGCAAATATAAAGTCACATAAAGTCATGTATTGACTTTATTGTCATGTATTGATTTTATGTAAGGGTGTCATTTCAGTAACTGAAATGACACCCTTACATAAAGGTACTGGAAAGTAGTGTTTACTTACCTCCTCTGGCCAAACAATTGTTTTTGTTTACTAGCAATTTGTAATACAAAATGTTACTGCTTTGGATCTCATTTACTCATTCTTAATTAATAATAATGCACTTGTAATAAAAGCTACTAATTTGCTATCTTCAATTTAGACTTAAAGTAACTAAGACCACCCCACATAGGACTATTTCATTTATCAAGAAAATTACATAGCTTCAGTGTCTCATCCATGACAATATTAAAGCCTCCCTCACTGAGAAGTTCAAAATGCACAGAAAAATCATATTACACATCACTCCTGACATTCTAACAGTTTTATCTACTTGTTGGAATACACATCTTTTGGCCTAATTACAGACCTTTCAATCAAGAAGATTAAAGCCACTTCAATATAAACGTGGAAGCAGAACTTACTCTCAGGTGCCGATTTTCATCTGTCAGCTTCATAATCTCTGCTTGAAGTCTTTTGCACTCCTCCACTAGCTTCCTTGTTTCAGTATCATTAAGTGAAACACTATGTGGTTTTGGCATCGGTCCATCCTGCTTAGATGTATTCAGTACTGGGGCGGATTTGCTTGCATCTATGTCATTCTACAAATATTAAAAATTACTTGAGAATTTTACTTACCTAGAGAAAAATCACCCACAGCTTAAAACTGAAACAATAAAGCTACAATTATAGTACAATGAAGTCTATATTTACAGTAATCTGAACAGACACTTCTGTTAGCAGTTCAATTCTGATTAGCTCAAATACAAAAAAGCAAGAGAAGATTGCACTGTTTACACTTGGTACTACATGCTACTGAGATACAAATAAATACTTTAGTTGCTTAACACTGACCCAGCAGGCATTCAAAAGAGGGCATAAAATACACCAAACAGCATTTGAACTTGAAGGGAAAAAATAAAAGGAAGAAACTAATCCTGCAATAGTAAGAAACAAAATAAAGCAAAACCAAAACAGGTCATGTCATGAACTCCTACAAAGTATGTACGATACAAATGTCTTACACTTATAGCACCTTCTAGTGAAAGAAAATAAAGTATTGCACAAACATGAAATTTATGTCTCACAGCATCTGAAATACACATTACTAATTTTGAACACTTGTGAAAAGTCACATAAAAAGCTGTGAAAAAACAACAACAAAAAAAAAATTTAAAAATCTGGTTCCCACAGCCCTGCTCAAAATCATAGAATGCTTTGGGTTGGACGGGACCTTAAAGATCATCTGGTTCCAACCCACCTGACATGGGCAGGGACACCTTTCACTAGATCAGGTTGCTCAGGGCCCCATCTAATCTGGCCTTAAACATCTTCAGGGACAGGGAGTCCACAGCTTCTCTGGGCAACCTGTTCCAGTCCCTCACTTCCTTCTGAGTAAAGAATTTCCTCCAAACAACTAATCCAGATCTCTCCTCTTTTAGCTTAAAACTGTTCCCTTTTGTTCTATCACTAGCTGCCTGTGTTGAAAGTCACTCTCCCTCTTTTATAAAAGCTTCCTTCAGGTACTAGAAGGTCACAATGAGGTGTCCCTGGAGCTTTTCTTCTCCAGGCTGAACAACCCCAACTCTCTCAGCCTGTCTCCCTAGGAGAGATGCTCCAGCCTTCTGATCATCTTTGTGGCTCTCCTCTGGACCCACTCTAACAGGTCCACATCTTTCTTGTGCTGCGGACCATGGAGCTGGACTCAGTGCTGCAGGTGGGGTCTCCTGAGGGCAGAGTAGAGGGAGGAAGAATCACCTCCCTCAACCTGCTGGCCACGTTTCTTGCCATGCAGCCCAGGATGTGGTTGGCTTTCTGGGCTGCGAGCACACACTGCAGACTCATATCTAGCTTTTCATCCACAAGAACCCCAAAAATATGGGAAGTCTGACTGTCAGTGAAGACAGGCAGAGAACTCATTGAGTACCTCAGCCTTATCTATATCTATTGCCACCAGTTTTCCATTCTTATTTATCAAGGAGGATTCACTCTCCTTGGCCTTTCTTTTCTGACCTATGTACTTACAGAATCCCTTCTTGTTACTCTTCACATCACTTGTCAAGTCCTGTTCCATCTGTACCTTATGTTTTCCTGACCTCATCCCTACACATCCAAACCATATCTCTGTACTTCCCAAGTCACATGTCCCTGCTTCCATTAGCTGTGCATTGCCTGCTTACTCCTCAATGTGAGGCGTAGATCCTTGCTCAGCCATGCTTATTTCTGTGCCGGTTTCTGGTTTAAGGCTACTTGCCTTCCAAATGGCCTTAATGGGGTCTAAAGCCTCTTAAGAGTGGCCTTAAAGAGCAGAGTCAGCTCCTCTGTCCCTAGGGACCGTTTCCCAGGGGACCTCATCCACTAATTCTTGCAACAGCTGGAAGTTTGTTCTGAATTTCAGGGTCCTGACTTTGCCCTTTGCCAGGTCTGTGTTCCTTGAGATCACAAACTAAACCAGGGCAAGGTCACTACAGTCCAGGCTGCCTCCAATCTTAACCTCTTTAATGAGCACACCCACACTGGTGAGCACAAGGTCCAGCAATGCTTCTCCCAGTTGGTTTGTCTACTACCTGGACCAGGACAGGGAGTTGTGCTTGTCATTTCCTGGACCGCTTAACTGAGTAGTATTGGTTAGGCATTGGAGTAAGTCTCCCAGGGAGGTGGTGGAGTCACCATCTCTGGAAGTGTTCAAGAGTTGAACACGTGAAGGCATCACATTAAAGTAAATACAAAAGGAGGTGGTTTTGTATAACCCACTACACATTTAGATGTATTTAGACAAATAAATGCCTTGATAATAAATGCTTAAATTTTACAGTTTTAGCATTTAACACACACTTGGAAAGCTAACACCTGAATAAAAGGATAGAAGGCTGCATCCCATAAATTATCCTTTGCAAAAAAAAAAAACAACCACCCAAACAAAGCCAGAACACAAAAAAGCAATCCCTTCTCCCCCACAAAAAAGCCCACACAAAACACTATACTGAGATTGCATCTGAAAAACACCTTTACATTACAGTTCAAAAACTGAATTAAAAGAATGGTTGCAAAGACAGCTACTGGCCTCCACTGAGCTCTTTTATGCATATAAGTAACAAGGTGGTTTTCACAGGCATAGATTCATGCCACTTCCCCCTAACATGCTTTACAGACTACTGTAGAAACTGGACAACACTAAAAAAACTAGTCAAGGCCATGCAGGGAGTAAGGTTGCTAACAGAAATCCTACTTTAGTACTCTAATTCACAATGTTAAAAGAAGCACCAAAAACAAGAACCACCACACAAAAAAAAAATTAAAACCACACAACCAAAAAATTCCAAGCCAAACAACCCAGAATACACAGTACATGGACTTCATAAATTAGAATTTCAAGTATGAGAGTTAAAAAAATATGTTAATGCATAAGAATTTAGTCATATCTGCAAAAATTCTAGGTAACTGACTATTATTCCAAATACTAGGCAACACAAAACAGACATCTTCAGTCTATATACAATTAAGCTGTCAGCTCCTACACAACTGGAATAGATCTTTGTCTGAAGCTGAGAGAATGAAAGAGGTAATGAGATTTTTTTGTCTGATTATTTGTCTTTACCACTACCTTATAAAAATGCATTTAGAATTCCCAAAGCATGCATTAATTCCTAATCAGTACTTCCTTCTCTAATTCAACTGAATTAGAAACAGCATTTTTTAAACTGAAAAGCATTTAATACTTTCAAAAGAAAACAATGCAATTTGCTTTCCACTGTATGCAGTATTGAAGATTCTTTTTTTTGTTTTCATCTGAGAGCAATGAAATGCTAAAGCAAATCAATAATAAAAATAACAAAAGCGTAATAATTTTTGGCACTGGTCTTCATGGCTGGAGTTTTTTAAGACATGGCAGGGCAGGGTGCTCCCTTCTGGACAAAAGGCTGGACCAGATGGTATTTCAAGGTCCCTTTAAACCTGAGCTGTTCTATGATTCTCTGAATCCTTAAAAAGCTATATACTGAACAGCCCTGCTGTCTAATTTAGTACAAATTCCTTCAGTCCATTTAATCATTAAATCAAATAGACTTTAAAAAGCTCAAATATCCATGAGATCTTACCAGTCAGTGCATGACAGTTTCTTACTCCTTACTTACCAGTTTATCATTTTCGTTGGGCATTTCAAACACACATCTCAATTTGGAGTCCATTAACTCATCAGGTTTTGCTTCTTTCCACTAAGACAACAATTAATACAGTTACTTTACATGCCAGACCCATGCAAACATCTGAACAGTTCATTAGCTTGCTCTCAGAACTTGCCTCCTACAGCCAAATACTGTCCTTAACCCTAGCTGCAATTTTCAGCCTTGCTTCTGAACAATAACTTCTGTTCACATTGACTACTGTGAGGTAAAAGCTAGAAATGGTTATTCAAGTCTGGAAATTAAAAAGAGTAAATTGAATGCAAGGATGATCCATCAGAGGTTTGTAAGGCATAGGAAGAGGATAATCCAGTGGTTTCTTTAACACAAAATGAGAATCATGTATCATCAAAGCCAGTTTAAGAAGAAATTTCTAGCCCGATTATGCCTCAGTTAATGTACTCCTTATATGACATCTTCGAAGCACCAGTTTTAAGAAAAAGATTGAAAGGCACCTTTTAGTGACTCTGTATTTGTTCCAGAGTAAATTTCTTTAGTTCTCTGTATTTTATACATTTAACCACTTCCTCCTTTTACTGCATAATACATAACAATTTAAATAACTGAAATATCCTGGAATCTCTCTGCTCAACTGACAATTAACATTCAAAGCACACACTTCATGTAGTTGTCTTAAATCTTTAGGCTCAGAGACTGATCTGAAGTCTGCAGCAATTTTTCTAATAGGTACTCCACAGTTACCTTAGAATTGTAGGTCTTACAGACTCGAATATTCAGGTTTTTCAAAACATCCATCCTATTATTTTTTCCTTCTTTTTCTCCCCTCCAGTGACATTAGAGTTGTGCAGTAACTTGCAACTACAATTACCGATTTTCTGCAAGATCTGTTTCTCAGTATTCTATCCTTAGCACACTAAGAAAGCAGTTCTTTGAAAGGCATTTCTAAAGCTGATTTTTATATCCTCACCAAATTGTTACGCTTCACTTACCACACATAACCAAGAGCTATGAGAGCATATTAAGAAAAACTAAACCAGACCAACAAGGAAGACAGATACTAACTTTCTAGCTGGCATGTGTCAAAAGCTTAACAAAATCTAGCCAGTCTTCCACTATTTCCAGTGAGGGAAGAGAAATGCCACAGTAGTCTTCGCCCTCAATAAACGGACAGAGCCTCAACCCGAAAAGGTCTAGTGGACTTCAGTGATTTATCCTTTGTTTCCTCACATTTATCCTTCATTTCCCCTCTCCTTCTCTGCCTTGAGTGAACATTGAATATATTTGTGTAAACCCAGGCATTCCTTAGAACAGCACTCTCTACCGACAGAAGCCTGTGCATCACCTCCCTCTACCTTAAAATACATAATTATGGGAGTCCACATAACCCTAAAAGGCACATTCTGACTACTGTAGGCTTCATTCTCCTTGCTGCCAGCCTGTAACATCAGAAACAGGTGACCTTTCTTCTGAACCAACAAGGACAAACCTACACATCCCTTCCTTCTGGATCCTTCCTCAGACCAACCCTGCCTCAAAACTAAATCTACATGTTCAATTGAAACAAAAACTAAATCTGTCACTTGTGCTGTGTTTAGCCACTTGGTATCTTGCAGAGAGACAGGTATTAAGTCTTGCAAATGTTTTAATTCATTATAATCCCATTTAACATTTCACTTGAACACTTTTCCTACCAAATGTGCCTGTTTCATACAGCTTCAGGCTTCTTGTTTAAATATATTCTCGATTTCCTCAAATACAATCTGTTTACTCCCTTCAAATTAGCTGCATATAGGGTACAATATGCCCATATTTTAAATACTGAACTGACCTCACCTTAGATTCACTACTATTTCCATTCAATCAGTTCAATAGGCAAGTTCCAAGAACTGACCTTGTAATTCATATTAAAAACCCTGAATCACATACCAGCTCATACTTGTTCAGAGAAAACCCATTTCTTCTTCAAAAATAAACTGCAAAAACATGAATCATTTACAGTCCAGTCTGAATTTTCAAGGAAGACAAAAAAAACCAAAACAAGTCATTTTACTCCAATTTTACTTACCACTGCCTCCATATCTGAAATATTTGGTGGTGCATAGGTTGTTTGTACCATAAACTTGTGTTTACTCTTCTCATTTGGGTCATAGTCAAAAGGCTGCAGCATTACTGTTCCAAAGAAAGAATAAAGCATAAAACAGTGATTCTTCAGCTAATCACAAGCACGCTATCCACTTAAGATTTGTTCTTCTCTGAACAGACACTGAAAGTTAAAATGCAAATGCAGCACTGAAAACAGACACACACTACAGGAATAAGTACTGGGAGGTCAGTCTAGTGTAGCTGACACGATTGTTTCTGTATTACTACAGCTAAAAGACAATTCATATACAAATATGAACAAACAGATCCTGTATGAGAAACAAAAAATTCTGTATCTAAATATGTGTGTGTGGATCCACACTTGCAACTTGGCCTACCAGAGGATGAGGACTCAGAGGGAACAGGAAAGATCAATTACTCAGCAGTGTACAGACACTTGTCTTCCACAGAATGGGAATTCCAGTTCAGTGTATCTTTATACAAAATTAAAAAAGAACCTGAAGCAGTTTCAGAAGATTATTTTTTTTAAAAAAATGACATTTATGGAGTCCCATCCCAGGTATCTGTATATGTACCTATTTTACAGCAACAAAAAAGCTCCAGCAGACTTACAGATACAGCTAGAAAAACACAAAAGCAGAAGGAAAAACGGTAACAAGAAACAGTAACAAGCTGTGAAGGAAGAACAGCAACATGCTATATTATGAAAAGAAAAACCAACAACTAGCAATACATGATATGTGATAACAATTAATTTAGGGCAGCATGGTAAAGAGAAACAAATCTTAACAAATGAGTATTTTTGAAAAAAACCAAACAAATAAACATGGCTGGAGAAGGTCACTGAGTGATTCACAATTGAATGATAAAAAAAATGCCCATGGACTTCCTTAAACTGACTGTCAAATCACATCTCCAGAAATGAATTTTAAGAGCTGGCTTGACTCTGAATCAGCACGATGTTTGCAAACAGAGAAGAACTGGTGGGAGTTGTGGTGATTGGAGGCCGTTTGGGCACAGCGACCATGAAATTGCAGTGTTTTCGATACTCAGGGATGCAAGAAGGGCCATCAATAAAACTTCTACCCTGGACTTCCGAGGAGTAGACTTTGGCCTGCTCAAAAGTCTGGTTCAAAGTGTACCCTGGGAAACAGCCCTTGGACAAAAATGGGTCCAGGAGGGATGGACATGCTTCAAGAAGGAAGTATTGGAGGCGCAGGAGCAGCTGTTCCGGTGTGCCGTGAGTCGGGGGGGAAGGCGGCCGGCCTGGCTGAACAGGGACACTTTGCAGGAAATGACGAAGAAAAAAGAGTTTACCAACTCTGGAAAA